GCTGCCCCAGCATCAAAGAAAACACTTTTCCTCTAAGAATCGTTTTTCCCAAGTAATCTCCAGGAAGAACTGGGCCTCAGATGCCCTGCAGCTTGCCCACTGGGGAGCACAGCTCATCTGGGCAGAAATGTCTCCCCTTGGCCTTCCTACATGGACCCTGAATGGGGGCCTTTGCAATACATCCTCCGTAATGTAGCCAGCACGGCTTTCTTAAACGCCCACAACCTTTCCATGAATCATAAATGATTCTAATTAATGATGCCTTAGTGGAGAGCAATGGGAGCTAAAGTGAGAACCAGCGGTGACAAGATGAGGTGTCCAAGGGAACCTGCGGAATTCCCCCTGTGGAGGTCTTTTGCAGAGAGAGAAGCTGCTCATTTGGAGGATGTGGCCTCACTGTCGGGAAGGGCACCGGAGCTGGAATTCTGTGTGCTACTCAGGGTACTTCTTACCCAAGGGCCACTCGCCCTTTCCGGATACAGAGGCTTTGGGGCTTGACGTGCAGGGAACATCATGCTGGGATCTGAGGGCTGCAAAGAGGAGGCAGGAGGAGGACGAGCCAGGCCTGCCACGGGAAGGAGCACGCTGCTGGGTTTCTGAGCCTGACCTCTAGCATCCTCATCACCATGGAACCCACTGCAGACGTGGCCGCCCCTGTAGCCCGCATCTTCAGGGAGGATGCTCTAGAACAGAAGCTGAGCTTATACCATAAGTTTGTCATAGGAACCACTTTTGGATGGAAAACTTAAAAAAAAAAAAAAATAGGCCATGCCTTCCCCATCTTCCTCAGAGAGAGAGAGGATCCTGAAGTAAATGTAAACTCTGGAGGGCAACCCTCACTCCTGTGCTGGGGCGTGATTTGGTGATGCTTTGGGGTCTGTAAAGTAGATAGAGCTCTTTTCTCCTGTATGTGCCCCCCAACTCCCAGCCTTTGCATGTTCATCAGTCTTTTTATGTATATTCTTTTGTTTCTCCATAATGTTTCATTTTGAAACTGTATGAGTATAAAACCGACGGATTCCTCAAGCCCCCCTTATATGTTCTTTTCTGAGCTGCTTCAATATCCTTGGGCTAGGAAATGAAATCATAGGCCTCGTAAGAACTGTGCACAAAGTAAGAGTCTGTGCATGGGCGTGGAGTGAAGGAAGCCTGAGGAGCTCTCCTCTGCGTGAAGGGACTGAGCTCTGACATTTTTGACTGCTCAGAGGCCTTCCATATTTTCTTTCAGGTCCTTGGTTTGGTCCAGCCTAAGACAAATGGACCTCCAGAGGGTGGCAGCATGCATAATCTGGACATACGATCTTTGCCAAGGTCAATGAGGTCAGAAGGAAATGATATCTGCACTGAAATAATTTCAGCTTAAAGGTGGTCAAACATACCTATACACACACACACACACACACACACACACACACACTGACATCCATGCCATGCATAGCAATGAAAGACGAAGCCACAAAACAGACTCACCCAGTTTTTCACTTTTATATCTCTGTGCCCTAAAAAGCTTCCTGAGGATAAATAATTAGAATCATAACATTTTCAAGTTGGAAAGAACTTTTAAAGTCCTTGAGATTTGCTCCCCTTTTTAGTTCAGGAATCTTTCCTGTTACTTCCTGGACAGATGGGCACTTTATCCCCTTGTTGCATAATCCCAGTAAGGAGGAGCTCCGTGCTTTTTGAAGCCTGATTTCATCAATGGAAATTTCTGTCAGGAAGTAACCACACTGTATCCCCTCCCACATCTGAGCTGCATTCCGTGTGCAGATGTGAGGCTTCTCCCAGAGCTTTCATTCAGCTGTCCTTTGGTTATGGGGTGAGCGCTCACTCAAGTGAATGGATGGGCAGATCTTACCTGTTTGGGGTAGATATTCCTGCTGTTGATCATCTTGGAAGCTGGTATGCCCTGAGATAGGAACTGCAAAGGCTAGCTTCTGTTCCTCTGAGACTTACTTGTTGGGCCTGACACAGATACACCTCAGAGTTGTTGAGAGTCTACCTAAGGGGGAGTAGGGCGGGTGGTCATTGACCCAGAAAAGGAGGCAGGCAGGCCTCCTGCAGAGGACTCAAAGGGAAGATGAGTGAGTCACACCTTGAAAGAGATATGACCTGAATTCACATTACTCTTTGCTGTTATTTCCCCCTTGTCAACTCTGAGCCTTTGAAAATGCCTGGTTTAAACGTTCCAGCCTGGTCCCATTGTGTAACAGCACTAAAAGAAGAACTGAGGTTCAGTATTTATCCCTCTAGAACATTAGAGGGGAATGGTGTCCTCTGAGGCTGCTGTGGGCTTGGGTGATTACTGAGGGGCTCTTAAAAGAAGTGTGACTATTAGGGAGTTAAGAGTTAGGCCCAAGAGCTCCACCCACTCTTCTCCACGCGGTGACTCATCATCCATCACTGTCATCCTTTTATTAAGCAAGCTGCCAGATTACTTACAAAAGTAATTCCCTAAATTGGCCTGAAATCTGTTTTCCAGTTCCTTTCACTCACAAGACTTAAGTTTTCTCTCTCAGAATCCCAGAGGACAGTCCTGAAAACCACTCACATTCACTGAGTGCTCACTAGGTCCCGGCCACTTTACTGAGCACTGTATTGTATCTCATTAATATTATCATCCCATTTTACAGATGGAGCAATTGAGGCTGATGGAAGTAAAATAATTTGCCCGAGGCCTGACCCCCAATTAAGCGGCAGGATGTGAGCTCATGGCAGTCTGATGTCAGAGGCCACGGTCATGAACTCTCAGACATTCTGCTTGTCTGCTTGTCCTGCCTTGTCTTGTCCTTGTGACAGCCTCTTAGAGATTGGTAGCCTGTGAGTCCCCTAGACCGCTTTTCTTTTAGGCTGAGTCCTCCCCCCCCCCCCCTTGCCATTTGTCTTTGTGCCATTTCTCCAGTTCCTCTTGACCAAGATCTGAGATAATGCAAAGAATGCAAAACCCACAGCCATCTGATCCCCCCCCCCCGTGACTTGTTCCACTCTGACCTCCAGGACTGCCTCTGCCAAAGCCCGGTTTTAGCAGCCTTCTCCTCAGGAGGCTGTATCCTTCCTGTCTGTCCTCACCATTTCTTGTGCCAGAACAGGCGCGGTTTTCCCTTTTGATAAATCTGGTCACCCTAAATATGGGCCTTGGAGCAAACAGGAGCAGCGGCCCCATGCAGCCCTCATTTCCAGATGCAGATTGATCATGTTGGAGGAACGGTGTCTTTTCCCACACACCGTGGTTTTAAGAAAGTGGGAGGGATCTCGACAGAACACTGGCAGGGGGAAGGCGCTCGAAGAGAAGACTCACACTTGGTCAGTCTTTTTTCCCAAAACACTGGCTCTTGGAGAGGCTCTGTGAAAAAGGGGGCCTCCGTCACAGGAAATGGAGAAATACAGCTTCACCAACCTCCCTCCTGGAGATTAGCCTATTAAACATTTGAAATCCTGGTAATCAGGAAACCTAACTGGTTTTGTTTAATTCAGTTCTCTCGTTTAAAAATGTAGTCGAGTAAAAATTTGGACAGCAATAAAAAAGTTGCAATCGGGCACACAAAGGCCTAAAGTAGTCCTCAGATAGGTTTGAATTGGCCTGTGTGGTGTTTAAATTAGGTGCTAGCATGTAACACCTGGAATATTTCTCATAATAGACTACCTTTGGGTTTTCTTAAAAAAAAAAAAAAATCAGAAGATCCAGATGCTCTGATTCACATTCTTCCACTGCCTTCCTTGGCAATACAGTGGGTGCACTGCTTTCCACGCAGTGAAGATTTTCTTGGGTGGGAGTTGGTATGGATGACCCCTGAGGCCCATTCATCCATTCATTCATGGATGCTACCTACACTGATGGAGCTTCTAGATCCTGTGGGTACAAGATGTATACAACAACCCCTGCCCTTCGGATTCCAGCTGCGGGCATTCTAAGATTCCAGCTGTGAGCTGCAGAATGAGGAGGGGGAGGGGTTGAGGAGAGGGAAGCTGGCAAGGCCAGAACCTAGTTTTCTGATTTCCAGCCCCTGGTGCTTGCCAAAGTCATCTCCTGTTTTCCACCACTCTCTCTCTCTACCACTCCAACAGCCACTGTGAACCCCATGGAAGAAAGAGGCCGCTAACTTGCTCAGTGGCTTAGAAGAGTTCCCACCCATCGCAAAGCCTCAGTGTCTCTCCCTGTAGATGGCCCGGTGGGAACAGAAAATTAGGCGCGTCCTTCTAGGGCTGGCATTCAGAGACGCTAAGACTCCAGAATCGAGGAATGTCAGACCGGGCCATGTGGGGAGCGGTTCCACCGAATTCCAAGAAGCCCCCTCCCTCCTTTCCCCAGCCCCGGGCCGGGGCGGGCGCTGCAGCTGGAGGGCCGAGCTGGCCGGGCTTCCTGCCCGGGGGCGGAGCCGCCTCCCCCCAAGCGCCCGCCCCTCCACCTGGGGCTCCCCGGCAGATGTTACAACTTTTTCTCATTCTCCCTGGCGGTGTCAACCCCAGGCCCGCCCTGCCTGCGCCTCCCTCCTCTTCCCCGCTGGGGTCCTGCCCACCTTCCCGCGGGGAGGCCACCAGTTCTCAGGACTCCTCCGGGCGGGGCGAGAGGCCGGGCCTGGGGCTGGAGGGTCGGGCGGGGGGAGGAGAAAGGGAAAGCAGAGGCGAGAGAAATTGGGAGGCGGGAGAAATCGAGGGCTAGACAGACAGGAGAGTCCGAGGATGGTGGAGAGCACAGTTTGGAAGTCCCCACGCCGTGTCTCAGGCTGGCCTGGCTGAGCCGGAGGAGAGGGAACGAGGGCGGCACCGGGCGGGCGGGAGAGAGGACGGCAGGGGACCGCGGGGCGCTGGGCTGACCTCCCCAGAGTGCCCGGCCTCGCCGTCCGGTCTCCGGTTCCAGGCCATTCGCGGGGCCGCCCCCGGGGGCGCTAGGCGCTCTCCCATTCTCCGGGCCGGCGGGCGTGCGGGCCGTGCGCCCTGGGCGCGCTCGGCGGCGGGGAGCCCCGGGGAGCCCCGCGCGCCGGGACGCACCGGCCGGCCTGGCGATGCACGCCCTCACCGGCTTCTCGCTGGTCAGCCTGCTCAGCTTCGGCTACCTGTCCTGGGACTGGGCCAAGCCGGGTCTGGTGGCCGATGGCCCCACGGAGGCTAGCGAGCAGCAGCCTTCCGTCGCCCCACCTCAGCCTCCCCACATTATCTTCATCCTCACCGACGACCAGGGCTACCACGACGTGGGCTACCATGGCTCAGATATCGAGACCCCTACGCTGGACCGCCTGGCCGCCGACGGTGTCAAGTTGGAGAATTATTATATCCAGCCCATCTGCACGCCTTCGCGGAGCCAGCTTCTCACGGGCAGGTAGGCATGGCCCAGGCCGCTGGCCGGCCGTCTGAGTCCCTAATAAACCGCAGTCGTAGATTTCCCCAGCATTTACAGTCGGCCCTCTGGGACCCGAGAAAGCAGGACTCCTGGCCAAGTCTGTCTCCAGCTAGCTGTGTGATCATTAGTAAATCCTTTGCCTTTTCTGAGCCTCAGTTTCCCTGCCCGTACACGGAAGGGGTTGACTCATCTCTGAGGTCTTCTCCCTCTGGTGTTCTAGGACACTCACACTCCGCACCCTGTGAAAGGGAATGGCGCTTCTGTTTACATACCCTGAGGACCTTGAACAAATCACTTAATATCTCTAAGCCTCAGTTTTCTTGTCCATAAAATGGGGTGAAGAACAGTTTTTATCTTGAGAAACAGTGGTAAGGATGGCATGGATTTCGTGTAACCTGCTTGGCTGTCAATGCATGGCAGCCTCTGTGTCACGGGAGGGATTTGAATCCCCAAACTGATGACTGTATTGGAAGAAACCAGAGAGTTGATAGGTGGAGATGAAAGACACACAGAATGCCAGGACCTAAGAAGCCTTAGACTAGTGATTTAATTTCTCCGAGCATCTGTTTTTTCATATGCAAAAGCCTCCCACAGTGGCTGGGGGTCCCAAGGAGACAGTGCTGCTTTCTCATCAGGAGGTGTCCACAGGCAAGGTAGCAGGACCGCGGGATCAAGGGCAGGGGAACAGGACGTGGAGGTGTGGAAAGCAAACTTTGGCCACTTAAGAGAAAATCCTTCGGCAAGGCTGAAGCTAATCCTCCCTGGATGGGGTCCAGGGCCAGCTTTCTCCCAAGTTCCACCCAAAAGCCACTGGCGTGAACTCGGGAACCAGAGCAGTAATCTCCCTGATTCCTGGATGGGGGGAACGGAGGCGTGGAGTCAGGCAAGACCCAACTCATTCATGCCCATGCCGACTTCGGGGTCTGTATGAGAGGGGGTGGAGAGGCCAGGTACTTGACAGGGGTCCTGGAGCTGGGTCCCCTAGCTGCCTTTTCTTCCTGGCACTCAGCATTTCCACCCAAAAACAGAGAGAGAGAGAACAGGAGGAAGAGGAAGAGGGTCCAGTGCACCAGTATGTGGTGCGCGTGGCAGTGGTGGTGAAGACCAAATGGTGACTAACCTCCAGTCGGGGGAGGAGGGATCTGTGTTCTCGGGGAGTGGTGCACAAGTTAGCATTTCTGTCCGGAGAGAGAGAAGTGACATTTGGTGTAAGCAGGGGAATGAGCAGCCAGCAGGGCAGCGTTCCAGCCCCCTGATAGGTAAAGTTAGCTGAGCGTGGCTGGGCAGCGCCCTTCCCGCCCCTTGCAGCTGGCTCCCTCTGACTGATGCTGACGACTCTCATTAGTGTTTGTTAATAAGTCCAGTCGTGTCTGGTGAAGCCGGAGAGAGCCAAGGTTTCTCATGTTACTCACTCGCACTTGGGCTTCAGGGATTCGGAGCCGGCCCACCCACTTTATACAACAGTGCTCCATGGTGCTCAGCCCCTAGAAAGAGAGGCTTGGCCTCTCAACCACTCTAATCACTCATTAGTTCGACTAAAGTCTGCAGAGGCCGCATTACCGGGAAATTCTGAGCATGAGTTGCATGCACTGGGTTCAAAGCTCAGCTCCACTGCCAGCTGTCTTGGCCCCTGGCTGCTTCTTTTTTATTTTTTGGGAGCTTCAGTTTTATTATTTGTAGAATGAAGGTCATAATAGTCTTTCCTGTAGGATTTTTTGAGGGTTAAGTGAAATAACGTAAATGGTATATAGTATTAAAAATGGCAGTAGGCCTGGCTGGTGTGGCTTGTTGGGTTGGAGCGCCATCCCATAAACTGAAAGGTCACAGGTTTGATCCCCAGTTGGGGTGCGTACTGGAGGCAGCTGATCGGTGTTTCTCATATCAATGTTTCTCTTTCTCTCCCTCTTCTTTTCTCTTAAAAAAAAAAAATAAAGGCAGAAGCTCATGATAGCTAATAATAACAGCTATAAGACAAGGAAACCAAAACAGACCCCTTCCACCCCCCCCCCCCCCAGTACCTAGGTTAAAGGTGTCAGTTATTCAGGTCTTAGTTTGAATACCCCAGGGAAGCGGGGAGAGGTGTGGGCTTCTAATACTCTTGTGAAGTTCCAGGCTTCTTATTTACTCTGGACTTTTAAGACTTGAGTAAAGGCAAGAGCCCATAAGCAGATCACGTGAGGGGTTCTACCACACGAGGGGGCATGGGATTTGAATGCATGCATGAGCCATGAGGAATGCAGGCTCACCATTGGCTTTTGCCTCAGGGTGTTCGCCTCGGTAAGTGACGCAGATTCAGGGGCCACATGAATTCACAGGCAGGCACAGAAGAACTAGTCTCACAGAGTTTGGGAACTGAAATGTTTTTATTTATTGATTTCTTTTTCATTGATTTTAAAAGAGGGAGGAGGGGAGAGAGAGGGAAAGAGGCATGAATTTGTTCCACTGATTTATATGTTCATTGTTTGACTCTTGTATGTGCCTGATCTGGGGATGAAACCCACAACCTAGGCATATCAGGACGATGTTCTAATCAATTGAGCTACCTGGCCAGGGCTAGAAAGATTTGTAAAGATCTTCGATGTCAACCACCTCACTCCTGCACACGAGCAAACAGAGCAGGGAAGTGGCAGCCTACTTTGCTGGAAAAGGGTTTGTCCTTGGACTCTGTTTGTATTTATGTTCAAGTCCAGGCTCTGCCCCTGACTATTGAACAATCTTGGGAAGACTCTTCCCCTATTATAGATCTTAGTTCCTTTTAAAGACAAGGTGAATAAGCTAGAAGATGCCTTAGGTACCTTCTGACTCTAAATCCTGTGAGTATCATTCTGTTATTCCCAAGTAATGGAGCGTTTCTGAGTGCTAGGAATACAAAGTTGAGTATGTACACGGAGAAGAATCTTGGGCTCTCTGGGCCCGAGAGCATGTACACTGAGTAGAATCTCATGGCCAAGTGTGACAATGATCATGAGTACTAAATGCTGAGGGAACTCAGAAGCAAAAGTGACTCATCTTTTGAAAGATTTGTGAGAGATTTTACAGTGGGAGACTTTGTGTTGGGCTTTGAAGAGTGTGTAGGAGTTTGCCCAAGAGAGCAGGACTTCTCTAGGCCCCATAGCAAGTTAGTGTTTTAGAACTTAGGGACTCAGAAGTCTCTAAAGACTGCCAGGGATACAAATCCAAACTCCAGTTACTAATTATATGAATCACCGGGTAAGTGATTTATTTTACTGAGCCTCAGTTTCCTTATTTGGGAAATGGGACAATAAGGATATGTACCTCCTAGGTTGCTGTTAGGATTTTGTGAGATAATTCATATAGGGGCTTAGTTCAGTACTGACCACATAGTGAGTACTTCTGTTAGCTATTACTATTTTGTTGTTAGGATGAGCCTGGGTTTGACCCTTAACTCCCTAGTTCCCTCACTGTGTTATCTTGGGTGAGTGGCTTAACCATTCTGAACTTCCATCTCCTCAAATGATAATAATACCTATTTCAGTTGATTTTGATTACTCAAAGAGATAATGCATTTGAAGTGCTCAGCACATTTGATAATACCTGCTGGTTACTATTACTATTAACGAACCTGCTGGTTACTATGTATGATCATCATGCTGGGACCAGGGCCCACTCCAGGGTGAGTGGTTTATAGCTCACTCTGTGCCTTCTGTGCCCTCTGCTCTTTTCACCAGGTACCAGATCCACACGGGACTTCAGCACTCCATCATCCGCCCTCGGCAGCCCAACTGCCTGCCCTTGGACCAGGTGACGCTGCCCCAGAAGCTGCAGGAGGCAGGTTACTCCACCCACATGGTGGGCAAGTGGCACCTGGGCTTCTACCGGAAGGAGTGCCTGCCCACCCGCCGCGGCTTCGACACCTTCCTGGGCTCGCTGACGGGCAACGTGGACTACTACACCTACGACAACTGCGATGGCCCCGGGGTGTGCGGCTTTGACCTGCACGAGGGCGAGAACGTGGCCTGGGGGCTCAGTGGCCAGTATTCCACCATGCTCTATGCCCAGCGCGTCAGCCACATCCTAGCCAGCCACAGCCCCCGGCAGCCCCTCTTCCTCTACGTGGCCTTCCAGGCGGTGCACACGCCCCTGCAGTCCCCCCGCGAGTACCTGTACCGCTACCGCAGCATGGGCAACGTGGCCCGGCGGAAGTACGCAGCCATGGTGACCTGCATGGACGAGGCCGTGCGCAACATCACCTGGGCCCTCAAGCGCTACGGCTTCTACAACAATAGCGTCATCATCTTCTCCAGCGACAACGGCGGCCAGACCTTCTCGGGGGGCAGCAACTGGCCGCTGCGAGGACGCAAGGGCACTTACTGGGAGGGCGGTGTGCGGGGCCTGGGCTTCGTCCACAGCCCCCTGCTCAAGCGGAAGCGACGGACCAGCCGGGCGCTGGTGCACATCACTGACTGGTACCCGACCCTGGTGGGCCTGGCCGGCGGCGCTGTCTCTGTGGCCGACGGGCTCGATGGCTACGACGTGTGGCCGGCCATCAGCGAGGGCCGGGCTTCGCCACGCACGGAGATCCTGCACAACATCGACCCGCTCTACAACCACGCCCGGCACGGCTCCCTGGAGGGCGGCTTCGGCATCTGGAACACGGCCGTGCAGGCCGCCATCCGGGTGGGCGAGTGGAAGCTGCTGACGGGGGACCCGGGCTACGGAGACTGGATCCCCCCGCAGACCCTGGCCGCCTTCCCCGGCAGCTGGTGGAACCTGGAGCGGATGGCCAGCGCCCGCCAGGCCGTGTGGCTCTTCAACATCAGCGCCGACCCCTACGAACGGGAGGACCTCTCTGGCCAGCGGCCGGACGTGGTCCGCGCCCTGCTGGCCCGCCTGGTGGACTATAACCGCACGGCCATCCCTGTGCGCTACCCGGCGGAGAACCCCCGGGCCCACCCTGACTTTAATGGGGGAGCTTGGGGGCCTTGGGCCGGTGATGAGGAAGAAGAAGAGGAGGAGGAGGAGGAGGCGGCGGCCAGGTCTCGAAGCCTCTCCCGGGGGCGCCGCAAGAAAAAGTGCAAGATTTGCAAGCTGCGGTCCTTTTTCCGTAAACTCAACACCAGACTGATGTCCCACCGGATCTGATGTGAGGGGAAGGGGGGTGAGGGCCTCTGGCCTCCTAAATGTCTTCCTCCACGCAAGGCTGGTCCTGCTCCTCAACCAGGGAAGGGCCTGAGGTCACGGCCCCATCTGCAGGGCAATGCAGGGTATAGAGCCGCTCCGTGGAAGGGCAGGGAGTTTGGCGTGGGCGTAGGGGTAGCATAAACTGGAGTCCCAGTCCTGTCTCTCCCTTGACTTACTCTGTGACCCCGGGTGACCTGCACTAGCTCTCCGGGCCTCCCTTTCCTCATCTGTGAAACGAGCTCTGATGATGCTGTGGCTCTGTGGTGTGAACCTGGCGCCGGTGCCATGGTGCAGCTCCTGGGGCTTCCCTCACCGCCTCCCAGCTCATTTAAGGTCTCATCCTCGAACCCTGCCTGCTGCGGTACTGCTTGGGCGAGGGGCCACATGGAGGCAAGTCCAGGCCTGGACCCCAGCCGAGCATGGCAGTCTGGCCACTCTCCGAAGAGATCCCTGGCTGCTGGGTTCAAGTGCAGGGGTCCAAGGAGTTGACCTTCCTGGTTCTTCACATGGCCCGGGGCGGGACTGTTGGGTGGTGGTGGGGGTGGCTGTGGTACAGAGTTCCCCTTCCTGTCCCCAGCACCCGGAGGAATCGGTCTGGCTGTTAGCTGCTGCAGGACCAACCATCAGGACATCTGGGTTCTGCTTTGACCTTGGGCCCAGTCCTTTCCCTCTGGGCTTCGATCCCCCCCTCCCCTCCCCCCCCCCCCCCCCCCCCGCCTTGCAAAGGGGATGCTATCTCCGGCTCTGCCTACCTCACAGGGCTGTGGAGGACTGGCCTGGCTAGTGGTTGTGGAGGAGCCCGTGAGCACGATTAAAATGCAGTAACACACAAGCGAGGGTTGTGGTGCTGTTTGTAAGCACAAGTGAGTGTGTGCATGTGCATCCAGGTGTGAGCTCCAAGCGAATGGGAGAGGAGGTGGGCAGCTGGCCTGGAGGTGGGACGTGTGGGTTCTGGTCACATCCTGCCACAAATCCACTGTGTAACCTCAGGGAAATCCGGACCCTCTCTGGGCCTCAGTGCCCCTGAGTATAGGGGATGATCTAAGAGCCCTTCCTACCTGGCTGTTCCGGGTCCCGTGTGTGTTCCTGTGTGTGTGTGTGTGTGTGTGTGTGTGTGTGTGTGTTGGGGGACATGGGCTGAGTGGCGGTGGGAGGAGGGGCATGGGGGTTTCAGAGCCTCCTTGCTGCACAGCGTGCCTCATGCGCACACTGCGTTCTGCAGATCTCCCTTCAGGTTCCAGTCGGCACAGCGTGTGTAGGCGAAAGCCCTGCTGTGAATTTTGAAAATAGTTATTTTTGTCACCGGCAAAGGAGGCCTGTTAGGACTCGTCAGCTTGCGAATGGGGTGGGGTGCGGTGGGTGCGGTGTGGTGGAGGGGGTTTGGGTTTTTGGAGCTGCATCCCCACTGCAGAGGTGGCTCAACCCAGGAGTGAAGGTCTGTCCTGGGGCTGCAGGGCGGAGGTGACCATTCATGTCCTGGGTTCCTTACTCCCAACCCTGGATCCCCAACTGAAACCTTTCCCTTTCCCCAGGGTGTTGGTGCCAGGGCCATGGCGGGCAGGGACCAGGAATGGCTGAGGCCTCTGATTCCAGCCAGCCCCAGCTCCTGCCTGCTCAGGAGGGAGACTTGGGAGAAGTCACCCATTGGGATGGTGTCCCAGGCCCAGTGTCCCCCAGGGAGGGGTTGTCCACAGTCTGCCCATTACCCAGGATACCCCCGGCTCTGTTGGAGGCGTGTCCCAGCTGTGTGGGCTGGGCCCTTCCAGAGTGATGTGGAGCTGGCTCCCCCGTGGCTCGAGGCTTGTGCCAGTTGAGCGATAGGCTTGCCCATGCCTGCTGAGTCGGCTCTGCCAGCGTTGGCCCAGCCTCCATCTCCAGCCCTGCTTCTCTGCACAAGCGCAGAGCCATAAAAAGTCCCTTCTGCTCTTTCCTACACACCAAGGCCCGCCCTTTGGTCAACATGGCCCCAAACAGAGAGCCCAGGTGGGTTTGGGTTGGGGGCTGGCTCCATTCCTGATTCCTGAGAAGGAGGCTCAGTCTAATCTCCAGCTTAGCCGGGAGCTCACCTGGCTGAGTCCTGCCTAACTCAGCCCAGCAACAGCCCAGAAGACCCTCTCAAGCTCCAGCCTGCCACCTGATCCACAGCCCAGCAGCTCCCAAGCCTGACTAACAGGGGTATGGCAGCTGGCCCTGACCTGAGATTGAGGGAGGGTGTGAGATGAGACGTGATCAGGACTTAGGACATTGTGACAAGAGGCTCAGGCTGCTTGCTGTGGCTTCTACTCTGCCCAGCCATCAGCATGCTACCTCTGCCCCCTGTCTTGCTGCTCATGGCCCCTGCATTCTCTCTAGCCAGGGCATCTTGGTCTGGACCCTGTGACAAGCCTCTGACTGGTATTAGCAGGCAGATGCTTGCACCACGGGAGGGATGGGTGGCAGGCAGACCAGAGGCAGCTCTGACATCTTGGGTCATTGATCTGGGGGAATGGAGTGGTGTCCAAAGGTGGCAGACAAGCCCCGTTTCCCCCTTGGCTGAACCAGATGGCAGCAGGTCTGCCAGCCTGATGTGTTTGAGCCAGGGGCGGCCCTATCTGAGCTGGGCCCCGCTTATAGAATCCCGAACAGCAATGGCCAGTCTCATAGAAGCCAGGAGAGAACCCCAGACCCGGCTGGAGGGGCTTGAGCCCCACCCTGGGCCTTGGCACCATTTCCTCCTCTCCTCAGTGCCTATTGGCGATCTTGGGATCTGGGCCAGCAGCCCTGCAGTGTCAGAAAGGGGAAAGGCAGAACAGGGGAAGAGAAGGAGCTGGGAGTCAAGGGTTCAGATTGTGGCCCTGGATCTGCCCCTTGTGTGACTGCGGGAGGGCAGCTTCCTTTCTCTGTGCCTCGGCCATGATCTGTAGGGGGCCTGTGCTCCCTCAGGGCCCTTCCTACCCTAGTGGAGGCCAAAGAGCTCAGGGCAGGGTGCTGAAGTCACACGAACCCTAGATGGGTAAACCACATCTTCTCTCTGCAAAAACGGATCATGACTGTACCTGTCTCGTGGACATTCTTTGTGAGGTACAAATAGTGCAATATGTCAAGTGCTTAGCACGGGGCCTGGCTCTAGAGTGGAAAAACTATTTTTCATATCCTTGGAGTCTGTGAAGGAACATCTTGTCCCCGTATTTCTCAGGAGGAAGTGAAGGCCTCAATGGGGAAATGATGTGCCACTTGTACCCACAGCCAACAGGAGGACTTGAACTTGAGTCATCTCACTGCAGGTCGTGCTGTGCAGACATTGGTCCAGCAGCTGCTGTCCTCTGTCCCGTGGCTCCTTCTCCCTCTCCCCTGCAGGGATGCCTCCTGTGGGGAACATCGCAGAGGACAGTGCTGCTCCCTGACCCCCCACTTCTCTCCCTTCCCAGTCAAGCCTGGCATTAATACGATGACTTCACCACATCACCCTCTGCCTAGACCCTCTGCAGGAGCATTTCTCTCTTGGCCCACTTTCCACCGATTCTGCCCCTTGCACTCACTGCTTTTAGTGGGACAGGTCCCTGCAGGACCCCAAGGCTCTTGAGCATGTGCACATGAGCACCTGAGAGGGCTATGGACTTAGAGTGAGCTGCCACGGTGCTACTGGGACCTGCATCTCCCCCAACCCCTATCCTTACCATGACCCAGGAACTTGGCCCTGGTCCCTATGGTCCCTCCCCATATACAAGGAGTACAGCCTGTATTCATGTTCACATTCCCTATCCCAGCATGCCAGAGCTGTACTCAGAGCCCTGGAGGGCTCCCCTCACTGGCCACCAGCCCGCAGCATGCAGTCCTGCTCTTGTGTACCGCACACACATGTTGCGGATGGGGGCACACGTGCCGGCTGGCATGCCTGCCTTGGCCCTGGGGAGGGGAGAGGCTGGTAGGAACAGTCTCCCCTGATGCAATCATCAACTTATTCTCTCAGCGCCACGGAGGCAGGGCCAGCTTCTTGCTCCCCGCAACCACTGGGCACAGCTGGCAGCCTTTTCGGCACATGGGAGGCAGGGAATTAGCGGTGCGTCTTTAGCGGGGTGGCAGTTACACTCCGGATGGGGGTGATCGTCCAAGGCAGTGTCCACATGCCTGTGCGAGGTTCTCAAAGGTTCAGAGGTGCGTGTGTGTGTGTGTGTGTGTGTGTGTGTGTGAGAGAGAGAGAGAGAGAGAGAGAGAGAGAGTTGCCAAGGAGACCTTTTTAGCTTCTTCCCCTTCTTTCTCCAGCCATCTCTCTACCATCAGGATCCTGCAGTCTGGGTCCTGCCCATCCTCCAGGATCCTGTGCCCTGGGTCTGGCCAGCGCAGTGCTGGGACGGAGAGAAGAGTGATGGAGACTGACAGAGGAAAGGAAGGTAGCGACAAGAAGGGGGGTGAAAAGAAATGGGAGGGGAGGAAGAAAATGGGGGAAAGGGAAGAAGGAAAAAAAGGAGAGCTGAAAAAGAGAAATGAAGTGGAAGAACAGATGGATATGGTGACGGGGGTGATGGGCTGGAATGGGACTGGATTAGCCCTGCCCCCAGAAGCCATCTCCATGGTCCCTGCAGAGTCCGGGTGAAAGCTGGCCACCTATGCCTTCCTCCCTCATGTCCTCTGAGTCACGGCTGGCTCTTCCTGGGATAACCCTGGGACCTGCCCCATGGGCTCTGCTCTCTTCTGATGCTCCATTTCCTGGGGGAAGGCGAGGAGGAGGCACAGGGTGGCCAGGTCACGCCACCTCCTGTTTAGAACATTAGATCCCCATGAAGACAGCCTCAGGCCTGTGAGCCCTCTCTCTTTAGCTCCAGTCCTTCGTTCTATAGAAAGTGCTGCAGACCAGGCCTGGGCAAGGTGATATTCAAATCACGAGCTCTACTCCAGTGGGGGCCTCAGAGAAGGACACCCCAAAGAGCTGGGACTCGAAGACGATGGAGCTTCCAGGGTGCAGAGAGAGCAGCGTGTAGGGAAGTCCCTCAATAATAACAGTTCCTGTCTGTGGAGTACTTAAGGTGTCGGTCACCGGGCTGATCTCATTTCAGCCACAGAATAGCCCTGGAGGCAGACGAAGAAACTGAGGCACAGAGGCGTTAGGATACCTATCCACAATGACACAGCCTGTAGGTCGTGGAGATGCTCTAACCACTGCACACTTTCCTCTCCGGCACAATAACTGGGGTGTCCTCCGTGGTCACTAAGGGCTGTAGCAGCATTTTCATGTGTGGAAGCGATTCCCCCAAGGTCGGGCAGAGAGAGGTGGTGCGGCCCTGCCCCCACGCCGCCATTTACATATCTCGCCTCTAGCGGGTGTTCCGTGCCCTGCCTGCTGCCCACCGGCTGTGAGATCAGAGCACGGGCTTCTCTTCCTTGCCTCTGAATTGCAACGTTGGCGGCAGAAGCGGGAAGCATATTGTGCAGAGAAACAAAACGGAGTGGTTTTTCCTTTTTTCTGAAGGTGGTAATGGTACAATTAGTGGCTAAGCCATCACCCCTCCTCCCTTGCTTGCTTCTGCTTCTCCTCCTCCCCCCTCTGCCTCCCTCCTGTTTCTCTCCTGGGAAGAAGTGGAGTGGCTGCATCACTCCCACCCTCGACTTCCAGGAATAGGGGCAGCATTTGGGAGATGGGTACCTGATGTCTCTAGGGACCCCTGGACCTAGGGATGTGAGTTGGGGACCTGCTGGGGTTTGGGATTACCAACAAGCAGACACTGTGTCCAGCAAGTGAGGTGACCCACAAGGCCATTTAGAGGGTCTCAGGAGGTAGGTTAGAAACCCAGAGGGTTTGGATCCCATTATCCAACCTGGGCCCATTATGGGCACGTGCTGGCAGGAGACCTCAGCCTGGTGGGCTGTAAAATGGGCTTGCATGGAGGGAGAGGGCGCGAGGGGTCTGAGATCCTAAGTGCAAGCTGGAGTGATGCAAGTGGTCATGGGTCCTGCTTTAGACCTTCCCTTTTCTCTTCCAGGGAAATGAGCCCGCCCCATCTTCACTGCCTTCCTCTCTGAGGGGCACCTTTGCAAGGCTGAAGGCTCAGAGGGGAGCATTGACTTTCCAAGGATCACACAGCCAACAAATGTCAGAGCTCAAAGAAAACTCAGATCTTTAATCCCCCAAGCCTTGGGGTGAGATTTTCAGGCCACAGAGATGGCTCCTGCCTTGAAGAGTTGCAGTTGGCAGGGAAAGTGCCCACAGAACTCTGGATGAGGGCTTTAGGGCAGGTCTGTGGCCGCGTCTCTCCAGGCCAGGCAGTGCTCCCCTCCCCACTGCCTCCTCTACCTCTTTCACCTTGACTTGAAGCGCCAGCAGAAACTGGGACACAAACCCCAGGAGACCAGCTCTCCATGGCCCTCGGGGGCATGGGCCGGGGGAGAGGTTATGGAGGAGCCTCAGGAGGGACCAACTGTGACAGCTGTGACGGGGGGCTTCTTCCAGAGCTAGAGCACCAGTGTGATGGGCAAAGTGGCAAAGAGCAGAGATAAGAAAAAATAAGAAAAAAAGGGCAGAAGAAAAAAAAATACAGAGAGGAGCAGAGAGACAGTTATAGAGACTACCGTAAGAGAGAGAGAGAGATCCCAATGAATTAGCCATCATTTTCCTATAAACCTTAGAACCCCGCTGTTGCCAGGACAACGGGGCAATACCTGTCTCTCCAGAGGAGCTGAAGTTGCCAGGGTAACTGCATCCTGTATTTCCTGGGGACCGTCCTGGAATGTGGCACCCACCATTACCATGACAACTGCCTTTTTGCCCCTATTTAATCCCATCTGAGGGCCCCACAGTTGGAGGTGGGGGAGGTGGGAAGAGAGCAGATCACTTGTGGATGAAGTTTGTTCTCCTCCCCCTCCTGTAGTCATTCCCCCCTCCTCCCCCAGCCCTGTTCCCCCACCCCCCACACCTATGGGGTGCTTTGTCCACCTGCCCCAGCCCACACATGCCTGCAGTATTGTGTACAGGTCAGGCCAGGGCGTCCTGGAGCAGGTTTCGCAGTGGAAGAAAGGCAGGTGTTGGGGAGGCAGTTACCGGGGCAACGGGAACAGGGCGTTTCCGAGTTGGTTGCCATGGGGACCTGGATGCTGACGAAGGCTCGCGAGGCTGCGAGCAGCCACAGTGCCCTGCTCAGAAGCTGGGGGCTCCTCAGTTAAGCCGGTTCTAGGCTCTCACTCAGCAGCAGGGGCAGGCGAGTGGCTCCTGGTTCCGGGAGCAGAACAGCAGTGCCCCAGCCCTGGTCCTCCAGCCCTGAGCCTCGCCTGCCCGCACGGCACCAGGATGGCCACCATCACCTGCACCCGCTTCACGGAAGAGTACCAGCTTTTCGAGGAATTGGGAAAGTGAGTTACACCTCGGAGAGTCCCGGAGGGCCCAGGGGCGCTGTGCTAGGGGCGGGGGTGTGCACCTGGGGTGTTTACCGTGCTCACAGAGGGAGGAAGGTTGTCTGTGTTTGGGGGGCACTTGCATGTGCAGAGTGTCCAGCACTGGCACGGGCATGTTTGTGGGGACACAGAGGTGCCCAAACCGGCTGGGCGAGTGTGTGTATAGAGGTGAAGGGTTGCTGATGCAGGCCAGTGAGGGCACACACATGTATGCACACGCACACATCCCATGACCTGGGCGCACACGGATTCTTAGAAACTCAGGGTTAAAAAGGGGTTTTCCTGTCAGCCGAGTCCAAGGCTGGGATTCCCTGTGAATTTCTCTTGAGGTAGCCAACTGGCATCCCTTTGGGTACCTCTGGTGAGAGAGCTCAGCACCTGCCAGGTGGTCCTTCCTGACTTCAGACAGCTCCCACGACTGCAGAGCAGCCAACTTCTCCCTGGAAGCACAGCCTTCCCCCGCTCCCCTCCCAGCTCCATTAGGAGCAAGGGCATCGGCACAGCAGGGGTTAATTGCTGAGCGAAGGGTGAGGCTCTCTTGGTGTTGGGAGGAGGGGAAGGGCAGCCAGGCAAGTTGGGAGGGGGCACTGCAGCTGCAGGGGCTCGTGGTGTGAGGTGCACCAGTGCTGGTCCTTGGCAAAGTTGTCCAGCCCCAGAGCTCATGTTCTGTCTCTGATGACTGGTGTGGAGAGCAGGGTAGGAAGATGGGGGACGAAGAGCCCCTTGGGGTAGCCCTAAGGTTATGGAGTGTTAGGGAAGCATTCCTGGATGCCCCCAGTAGAATCTGTGGAAGATGCAGGAATGGATCCAGGGTAAGGGTACAGTTCGGAGACAGTTTGCCCTTTGGGCAAAACAACTCTGATGCCCTGGGTATAGCAGCAGGAGTGCAGGGAGAGGGGCCTGTGCACAGGGCTGGACTGCTGTGAGGTCTGGAAATGCACACACAAGTGTTCACTTGAAAGTGTGGCGTATAAGGACTGACTCTGGCGTACACTCTGTGCACCGAAAGGATGTGTGAGTGTTCAAGTGTGTGCACCAGAAGGGGCTGGTGTGTGAAGCCTGAAAATGCAAGTGTGCCCTGCAAGTGTGGATGCGTGCAAGTAGCACAAGGAGTGCTGTTGGCTAGTTTGCACGGGAGTGAAGGTGTGAGCGTGCGTCACATGTATGGCGAGTCAGCTGTGTGCACATCAGCAGGCAAATGTGTGTGAGGTCTGGGCATGTGCAAACATATGTTTGTATAAGGATGCACATCTGAGACGTAGGCACAGTGGTGTCCCTGTGAGGTCTGGACATGCATGTGAGGACCTGGGAACATGCACACAGGAAGGTTTATGTGTGTGCGTGTGCGGCCTGAGCCCACAGGCGAGGTTGGGAGTGTGGGTGTTTTGAGCTCTTGCTGGTGTCTGCATATGTGTAGGAGGTGGGCCTGTGGCTGTGCACAAGTAGGCTGCCTGCACACACACATTTGCACACTGGGCAAGCCTGACACCTACAGGCACACGCCAGTTCCTTCGTACAGACACCCCTGTGCAGACGTGTGCTCATGCTTGTCTGCAGACTACCTGTCTTTCTGAGTGTGTTTTTTTTTGTGCTGGGGGAGGCAGCAGGAACAAAATGTGTAAGGCTGCCCTGGAGGACGGAGGCTGTCTGCCAGACTTGCGTGGGGACCCCCTTCTCAGCTGATTCCCAGTGCCCACTGGCAGCCGGGATTCCCTGGTTAGCGGGGAGCTGCCTGTCAGGGGGCGCTGGGAAGACTGCATCGCAGAGTGCGGTGAAACGGAGTTAAGATGTGACTCAGGTGCTCAGGATGACAATAAAAGTGATGTTTTGCCCCGCGAGGAGATGGAGACCATGACGACTGGGTGCTGTGGGGGCGACTTGGCAGAATGCCTCCTCAACCCCGCAGCCTGCCAGGGCGCCTGGAGGGACCTGGGCCATGGCAGCGCCTCAGGGGAAGGGAGCCCTGGTGTGTCCATGGCAGGAGCGCTGAGGGGGGCAGGCGTGGCCAGGCTTTGTTTAATCAATTTCAGACCTCTTCCTTCCAGAATCATCAGTGCTCTTAACCTTTTCTAGGTCACATATTCCTCCAGGAATCTGACGAAAGGCTAAGTCTACATTCCTCAGGAAAATGCGCAAAACTAAGATATGTAGCATGCGCTGTCAGGAGCTTGCAGGACCTCAGGAAGGCTGGGGCTGGGCCTCATGTTAGGATGCTTGCGTTAGAAAAAAGGGGATGAGGACCCGCACCTCTGATGCCTGGCTTAAAAAGGCCAGGGTGCCACGGGGCGGAGGGTCTGCTGCTCTAAATTATTATAACAGCTTTAGCTCAAGAGGCCAGGAGGGGACGTGTCCAGCACAGGGTATAGGCTCTGGACATCACCACCCACAGTTCAGTGACGTTGGGCAGGCTGTGGCACTTCTTCTCCCCTGCCCCCCACCTATAACCTGGAGATGAAAAAGGGCTGAGGATGAGATGAGATGGTGCGTGCGAAGACATAGTGACAAGCCGGGCACACAGTAAGCCTTCCAGACGGCATTGCTTCTGGGGACTGGAGCACCGAGGATGCGAACAGGGCCCATCCTTCTGTTTGGTGACTCAAGGTCCCTGCCAGCCGGGACACTGCAGTCACCACCCAACGCTGAGCCCCTGTCCCAGGACCCCACTTCCAATCCCCGGCAGGGTGACTGGCAGAGATTGCTGGGTGGGTCTTACAAGGGAACATGGGAGCCTTTAGACCTCCTTTGGTGGGGCCCGGGCTGCCCAGCTGGAGAGGAGGGCACGTGCCTCTTGAGGGCTTCCTGGGGGCCTGCCCGAGGCGGTCTGGCTCATGGCTGCAGGTCTTCCTTCAAGGTGCCCACTGGTAGGGCTGGCTGTGGATGGAACGGAAGCTGCCCCTCTCCCTCCTGCTGGGAAGGCAGCTGGGGGTGTGGGCTGGAGTCAGTGCCCTGGGCAGGGGCTTCTCAGGGCCTCTCGATGCCGCTGGAGGCAGGTCCCACGGCAGCATGTGAGTCGGAAAACCAGGAATTGATTCCAGGTCGCTGAGAGGGCTGAGGTGGGACTGTCTCTTGGGCCCAGAGCCTCTCTCACTCTCCCCTCCCTTGACCCCAATCCTCCTTCCTCCCAGGGAATGAGGGAAATGAAAGCCGGACCCTGGGAGCACAGGCGCTTGTTGGGAGGCAGGGTCCAGCTCAGAGTCCGGGGAAGGGGTTAGTTTCCAGGAGGTGGACAAGGGGGGTGCCTCCTGCAGCCTCTGGCGCTCTCTGGGCTTTGGATCCCACGGCCAGGGGAGGGGAGGGAGGCCGAGAATTGCCCTGCAGCCTGTGTAATCAGCAGGCAGTACAGAAAGAGCCTCTGAAGGAGACAGTGCTTCAGAGAAGGAGAGGGAGGGGGACTGGAGAGCCGGTGCAACCCACTCTTTTCTCTCTAGACGCAGAGATCTGAAATTGTCTCAAGGGCGTGCTGGGGTGGGGGAGGGCTCCCAAGGGCCAGTGAGGTTGGCAGAGGGAGGGCAGAGAGCTGGCTCTGGACCGCTGCCCCCTCTGCTTTGTATTGTGAACCAGACGTGGGCTGGGCTGGGCTGACCAGGGGTCCACACCGGGGCCCAGAGGCAACTCCCTGCACTTGGGTGTCCAGGGTCCTGGGTTCCCCTCTGGGGACCCGCACTCTAATGTCTGCACAATGTGTTTAGCTCTCTGGTCCTTCCCGAGCTGTTAGGAGGATCGATGATGTAACACTGGGGAGAGAGGGCACCTGGGCATGGGAGCGCCACCCAAAGCTGGGCGTGTGCTTTTATTTTGCTCCTAATAACCTGTTACATCCACAGCACTTTGGGGCCGGCGAGGCTGTTCTCCACCCGTGAGCTCATCTGGGCGGGAGGCAGGGGGCTTACCTACCCACCTCCCAGATGAGCAGACTGACGCTGGAGCAGGTGGGATGGCTGGCTCGGGGACGGGGGACTGGGCTCAGGCTTGCCTGTAGGTCTCCGACACCTGCATACAGGGGAAGGCTGGTGAGAGGGTCCCCTCCTGGTGCTGTGTCTGGGAACACTACTCGGAAGAGGGGTGGTGGCCTGGTGGGTGAGGGGACTCTGAGCTGTGGTTTGTTTTCCAATCAGGATTCTGCCTCTCATTTACCGGGCCACCCTGGGTGGACCTCTTGTCCTTGGTGTCCCTCAACTTTGCCATCTGTATAATGGGGTTGGAATAGCTTTGCAGATGCTGAAACGCCCCCGTTAGAGTTGCTGTCCTCTTTGGGCTTCCTCTGTGGGAGGCACACACGGGGAATGTCAGACTCCCAGGGCCTCAGGACGGAAAGGACCACAGTACAGATGGTAAAGTCAATACCCACAGAGAAATGGTTTGCCCAAGGCCACGGGCGAGGCAGTGGCAAAGCCAGGGGAGGGGGCCCCGATGATGTGCAGGGGCCAGGGGCCAAAAGCCAAGAATGGGAAGTTGGGGGCACAGGTCCTCAGGAGGGGGTGGCAGGGACAGGGGAGGGTACAGCCTCTCCTCCCCCGCTGCAAACCATCCGAGCAGCAGGCACGCACATGTTCTGGTGCATGCGGCAGCCCTCCGCCCCCACGCAGCCGCCCCCGCACAGGCTGAGATACACTGACACTGCTGAGCCGCCCGTCTGCCCGCCTCCCTGCAAAGGCACACAGCGGCACTGCTGCCAGCACCCCTGCAGGCTGGGGCCCTGGCTCTCTTCACGGGTGAGGGCAGAGCCCTGGGAGGCAATACCAGCATCCCTTCGCTAGTGTGCGTGGGCACACACATGGACACACATGCACACATGCGCACACACACGTGCATATGTATGCATGAGGGCACACGCGCACTGGCTCCAACTGGGCTTTAAATATGAGTCTACCTCCCAGTGCAGAGAGAGCAAGATGATACTTGGCCTGGCTTCTGGGTGGCTCTCTCTCTCTCTCTCTCTCTCTCCTTTCATCTCTATC